TTTCCCTCATATTAGTCAATTTAAAACGCCGAAAAAAAAACAAAAAAAAAAAAAAAAAAAAAAAAAGGTACAATATAGCAATTAAGCAGTGGGGCAAGGGAAACAGCAAAATTGCGGAGATGCGAAGTTGCGAAGCATTGCAAAAAAAAAAAAAAAAAGAGCCTTTTTTTTTCCCCGAAATTTTCCTTTTGTTGCATGTTTAAAAATGATGTTCCTTTGAATTTTTTTCTTTTATATTATTTGGACGTTTTTGCGACGCTTTGGAACATTACACAATTGCAGAATTACCGCGACGCCTTGCCGCATTTTTTCCGCGTTTATGGGGCACGGTGTTTTCCGATTTTTTCACCAAGGTTTTTTATGGTGGAAAATGGTTGGAAAAAAATGAGATCGCGAGGAACGCGCCACATTTGGTTCTCACAAGTTTTATCTATAATTTACGAGTTGTGGAAATTTCATGGCGTACCGTTCGCAGGGATGTATGCAAAACAACGTTTTGCGCTATGCATGAATTCTGTGCGTGTGACTGTTCATGTCGTTTGCTGAACTGCACTGTTTTGTGGTCCATTCTCACACACACATTCTTTTGCACATCGCGATCGTGGAAAAAATGGGAAAGATGTATTTGGCTCGAGGAGGATGAAGCTTCCCAAAAGGGTTAGAAAAAAAAAAAAAAAAAAAAAATAGGGTTGGGGGAGTTATATACCCACAATGGGAGAAACACATCACAAAAGGAGTAACCTCTCGAAGAAAACAACGCCTTGTAATGAACTCCATGTGTTGGTTCTCTTCGCATTTACTTGGGCACACGGGGATCGGATCCACTTTGTCTGGCCGCCCTGTTCCCCCCCCTTTTACGCCTTTCAAGTAAAAGATGAGGCACAGGGAAAACAACTCGAGGGTACCTCACAGGCAGAGAGTACATTGACCACTTAAAAGGAAAATTTTTGTTCTTAGAAATTTCTTGTAATAATAATTAAGCACATGCTTATATTGCTCCATGTTTGGAAGTGGCTCTGTGGTTTTTGCGCAACAGGAAATGTCACTAAAATTGCTAAGGTTTTCTGAAGTACAAAATTGGAAGAAAAAATGGAGGCATGGGTTTGTACAAATGTGTTGTTGGGTAGGAGTGAGACAAGGGAAGAAATAAGTAAGTGTGCATGGATGAAGTTAGGATAAGAAATATATATATGTGTATATACTGCCGCGTGCTACTGTAGCCACCCATGCAGAACCTACTTGTCGCTTTTTCCTTAAGGAGCAATGGGGGATATAGGTCGTCTTGCTTGCAGAAATGGAGGACGCGGTTCAAAATGTGGAAATCCACGGAGAGGTTGTCCAAATAGATTAGAACCTGATAATTGCGGGGAAGGGGGTGGACAAAAAAAATTAGGGGTACACTGCGGAAATTTTGTTCGAATGCATGAAATGTTCGGCTGGTTCACCATCCTGAGAAATGTACTAGCCAATCGGCTGACGCGACTGTAAAGTAGCACTTACGACGTCCCGAACGTTTGCTCGAATTCTGCCATCCGCGTGCATGCGACGTAGAGAGGTATAAATGGTTCGGACTATTTTAACCCTTTTAAGTCTACATAGGACAGTTCGAATGTAAGACACTAAGGCTTTTGGTACGTCACCATCTTGAAGTGATTGTAAAAAGTGGGCTCGTTTTTTATTCTTAAATGTGAGGGACGCTGCATCGGTAAAATGGGATACAATTTTCTGCAAATTTTTTTTTGATGCGATGGTAAGGCTGTTATTTGGTGTAAGTTTTCTTTGCTCATATGTTTCGAAAAAGGATAAGGCAAAAATAGTGCGTAATGCGCATATGTATGGAAGGCTAAAATTCGACAGGGACGGGGAATAGTAATAAGAACTTAGTAGCAAAATTCTGCATCTGATAGACTCCAAATGGAAATATTTTTTCTCTAAGAATGAAGCAAACTGGTGTAACTCCTGCATGTGTTTGTTGTTGATTAAGGCTATTATTGGGTAGCGACTATGTATTTTTGCTTTCTCTTTTGATTCTCTTTTAATTTGTTTGATGAAAAAAAAAATTCTTTGCAACATGGCGTTATGCTCAGGATCATGTTGTGATATAATTTCTGCGGAACTGAGACTTTTTTTTTTTTTTTTTTCCAAATCCATATATTTTTTGTAGTCTAAGAAAAATTTATATAGGAAAGTTCTCTCTAATATGCTTTTTAACTTGTCTTTAGAAAATGTTTTTCCTTCTTCTGCAGCATCATTCAGGGATAGGTACTTGGAATGAGTCTCCTCGTTGACTCTTTTGTAATGCGTGTCGATGATGAATTCATTCTTGGGATAGTTATAAATAAAGGAAAAGCAAAAGTAGAGAAGCAGGAGACCAACCACATTTTCCGTTTGTCCACGCGAATGTTTCATATTCTGGATGCTCCATGATAAATCAGTTAGTAGGGTGTAGATAACTCTCTTTAGCTGCGTCTTTTTTTTTTCATTTTCCTTATGCACTTTTTGTACTATATTTAGCGTATAGCACATGGACTTTATCATTTTTGTGACCATTTCTATTTTGAGCAACTCACATTTTTCCTTCACCTTCAGGTACTCTGTCAGACTTGGAAACAGTTCGACCTTCACTTGGTATGTGTGTGTATTTGCGGTACAGAAATGTTTAATCATTTTTTCTCCCTTTTTCATTTTGTAGTGAATTTTCTGTAAGAGGATGTCCCTAAGGGTGAAGAGTTGTTCGCTTTCTTGGCCCTCATTCGTTGTGTGCTTTTCAATTGGTAGTGCGCCCTCCATCTGAGTCTTTTCGAGGCGTGTCTGCAGGGTTTCTCGTTCAAGTGTATCAGCTTTATTTCGACAAATGGCGGACAGCATCCCCCGCAAGCAACGATTATTTTGAAGAATAAAATCCAGGTCTGTGTATCCTCCTACCAAGTAGTTGGTCAAAATGTGCATAATTTCTTCTCTCATTTGAGGGGAATCAAATAGGTCTGCATCCAGGGTCTCCACTTCTCCCATTTTGTCACAAAAGCTGCTTTCATTTTTAATGAGAAGAAGAAACTGATATACGTGAAGAAGAGTAAAAGTGGAAGCTGCACCAGGTTCTATATTATTGAGATTCAAATAAGTTTCTTGTTCTCTTTCTATAAGGACTAAAATGCACAGCATAATGTTCACAACGTTTTCGTAATATCTGTTGAGGTTCTTTAAACTAAACGATCTGATCATGGTGCAGGAGAAACAGAAAGAAATGTCCCATCGTACATATTGCCCTAACATATGCTTGTTGATTACTTCTAGTGTATGCTTTATTTGGTCCGTGTGTGAAATGTTTTCCAAGTTTAGGGTGAGTAGTTCTCTCAGCAAGGTGGTGAAAAGTCTAACGTTTACAATTCCTTTTTCGAAATCCTCAAAAATGTGGCATGGTAAATATTTTTTTATGTCTTCAACTGAGAGGTAAATTTTTTCTACATTTTCCAATTGGGTCTCTTCTCCTTGTTTAATCAACGCAAGTACTTTTCTTGCACTAACAATTGTGTAGATACTGTACATATACTGAACATAATTTTGTGATTTTATTTTTTCTAACATGTTCCATGTCTTCATATAACTACTACTTCCATCCTTTGGTGTATTTTGCTCAAAAATGGAATCTTGCACATTGTAACATTTTACTTCTTGATTTATTATGAGCAAACAGCTGTCACATGCGCGGACGCATTCTTCCAAGTTGTTCGTCAGCAGGTGGAGGAGGGAACAATTGTTCAGCACCTTTATGTGTTCCTCTTTGCTTAGTTCGTGTCCTGCGATTTGGGGGATGGAAGAGGTTTATGAAGGGCGGCATGTGAGTGGGGCGTTCGCACGGGGGTTATCAATGTGGTTTGTACAAATGGAAGGTGCGGCACAGCTAGGGGGACAGAGGAAACAAGCACACACTCTTTACTACGCATATATGTATGTATATGTGTATATACGGCCATTCGGGAGGAACCCCACAATGGTTTGCACCCCCCCTCTGTTAGACACCGCCGATAGACACGTGCACCCGATTTCTCACCCATGAGCAGGTAGGAGGATACCGATTTGAGTGTCTCCAAGCAGCTGACAAAGTCGGAGTTCTTGAAGTACAGCTTCTTTGCCTTTTCTATCAAAACGATCAGGAAGAAATTTTTGGTGGACGTGCAGCTGGGTAGTTTCTGCTTCAACATTCTGGACTCTCTTGCAGGAAGTTCGTTTCTCTTCATTTGAGTAAACTTCAATTCTATGACCTTATTTTTTGTTCCTCGATCTTGGAGTAGTAGTAGATTAGGCTGTTTTTCCTTAACAATGTCTGAGCAGGGTACTACCAATTGATGATTCTTTTCTGTGTTATCTCGGACGAGTTCTTCCACTTTGCCATTTATCTCATTTGCTTTCTTTTCTTCAGAGATGAGCAGCTCATTAGGGTTGTCGACATTTCGATCTGAGCGATTAACCGTGTCTACCTCATGGTGCGGATCCAATTTCTTCATTTCGTCTTCATCACAATCTTGATATATTGAATCAATCGCTCTTTTTCTGATTTCGTCCTTCTTGTTTCGGATCAGCTCATTTTTCTGTTCTTCCAGCTGGGATTGTATTTTTTGCGCATCATCCTGTAGCTTCTTCATAAAGTCGTCTCTCGAGTTTTTATTTCTCTTCATCATTTTCTTCAGCTCATTTAAACTATTCATTCTTCTATCATTAATTATCGATTTGAATGTCTGCTCTTGTGCAACTAATTTGTTCTTTTGTTCCTTTGTGCACTTGATCAAATTTGGATATGTGGCATTTTTGTATAAGAGGAAAATATTAAAGTAATTTAAATATCCCCATAATTTGTTTTCTTTTTTCTTCAAATTTAAGGTAATAAAGTTGGTGTTTTCTCTAACTTGTACGTGCTCCTTGTCCATGCTTATTTTGTCATACAAATCGATGTTCATGATTTTATTCTTGTGGTTTATTTTGATGTACGTGTCTGATATGAGCAGGTCTTTTGCCTTTTCCAGTTCTACTACGTGTTCGTCGTACAAGCACAGGTCCTCTATGCATCTGACATCAGAGAAGACGCTTTTGTTGCGCTGTTCAACATCGCCGCTTGCTTCCTTTTTCAGCTTTATCTCCACGGAGTCGAAGTTTTCTCTCCAGGTAAGTTCCATGGGGGTGAGCAAGCGGTGCGTAGGGCAAATGGTACGTAAGGAAACGATTTGCGTGGAAGGATCTATTGTAGAGAGGGCCTATACGTGTTTCTGTTTTTCACGTTAATCCGAGGAACACAAGATACCGGGGGGAAACAGAAGTAAGGAACGAGTTAAGTTGGACCACCAAGTTGGAGTGTATGCCACAAGTGGCTCAATTTGTAAGAATCTGAGGTTTAGAAAATTTGCTCCCAGTTGAATCCCTCAACATAGGATCGCACAAGATAACTGCGTGGAAATTTTTTTCGTAGATGATTTTGTTGCGTAGAGTTTTTTTCTTTTGTTTTTTTTTTTAGGGTATTAATTTAGGGTGTAAGGTGTGAAATAAGTTTGGACACTAAATCGAGGGAAAATTTTCGAAAGAGTGATGGTAAAAAAAACAAAAAAATTATAAATGAGTACATAAAAAATAAAGAAGCTATTTGGGTTAGAGAATGTTTTCCTTCTTCTCTTATTCAACAGAAAGCTGGATGTGTACCTGTACGCGTCGGGGAGGGTGAAAAATGGCAAAGATGTGGAAATGCGTACACAAAATGGGGCCAAAATGGGGCACAACATGCGACCAAAATGGGTACACAAAATGGGGCTAAGATGGGGCTAAGATGGGGCACAAAATGGGACCAAAACAAATTGACGTTTCCATACACCTCCATAAATTTCCACTAATAACGTCACAAGAACCCCCTCCCAAGGAGAAGAACTAACATCTCAGGGAGGTGGTAAGTACACAAAAAAATACGGCATGCAATGAACGCATGCAGATAAACCAATTCACGGGGATAGAAAACAAAAAAAAGTACGCTTTTGTAAAAACGCTTTCTCTCTAACCTGGTGGTCTATTCCGTAGTAGGTGTCACTATGTGCGTACACGGTGAAGTCGTAGATGCCCTGGACTAGGTCTTCCAAACTGCATGCAAAAGAAAAAAAAAAAAAAATAAAAAATAAATAAAATTGGTGACAAACAATGGAGGCATGTGAACACAACGTGCGAGAATACGACACAGCTATGAAGACGCAAATTGCTAGGGCTAGCCCTTGCATCTCTCGTGTGTTAGCCAAAATAAGTGCGGCAGTTAAGGCAAGCCCATTTTGGCTGTGCGGGGCGCGTTCCCTACGTGAACGAGACGGATGATGTTTTCTTTAGGGCCGAATTGTTGAAGCGCTTGATGGAAACCGATTCATCTTGAGCACAATCGTGCAGGATAGCGTACCTATATGGCGGTGAGGAGGGTGCGAAGATGTTAGAAAGCACGGGCACGCTTAGGAAAATACATGTTTCAATTTGCAAGGCTCTATTTCCTGATGTGCATATAATGCCATGTGCACATAAAGCAAGTGCACACGTGTTCTCCCTACCACTGCACATTTGCACTAGAGGGGGCGCCAGAATTGCCATCGCGCGACAATTTATTAAAGAAACAAAAAAAAACTTTAATAACAATTTCATTCGGATCATGATGTTTCATTTGAAAAAAAAATTTATTTTCATGTTTCAAATGATTTACACATGGGATGTTGACAAAGTTATTTTTCTTTTCTGGCACCTCGTTATTAGGGTTAACACTTTTGTAAAATAATTTGATGCTGCTAGTTACGGACGGAATTTGAAAAATAAAATCCAACTGAGAGGTATGGAAGATGTTAAGTGAATATAAGAATGATTTATCAAATTTTAATAGATCCTTTAAATTGTTAATTTGCAATTCTTCCAATTTGGCTAGCTGACTGTCACTTATGTCCTTAATGAGGTGGAGGGAATTTTGGCTGGGCTGAATTTTTTGGTTAATACACTGATATATGAGGATCAAATTTTGTATATAATTATACTTACCAAATAGTAAGCATGTGTCAATGAATCCATTAATAACTCTTGCAATTTGATCCATGACTAATTTCAAGTCGATGTGATAGTCTGCCGTTTCGTAGGTGCATTCGTACAAACGGGAGAGGAGTAGGAGGTATGTTTTGATATTCTTCATATTCATGTCGATGTCTAAGGGAATTTGGTTTCTCAGCTTTACGTTGTATTGGTCTTCGTTGTGCCTCAAGGGGACGTCATCAAATTCCCTTGCCTGGGCGATCAAGGCGAACAGCCCGTAAAAGTCGAGTTCTGTTCCCTGCGCGCGGTGGTGGCGATAATGGCCGTTGCGCAATTCGTCGCGGTGTTCGTGGGTATTTGATTTCTCCTCTACGCAGTGATCTTCGTTCTGTGCTTCATGTTTCGCGTCGCTATTCGCTCCCTTTATCTCGCTAGTTATCGCTTCACCATAGGTGGTTTCCCCCAAGTCCATGACTGCCTCTCCCTGCCCGACCGCACGGTTGCCATTTTGAAGGTCCCCACAGTCATCCTCTACCTTATCCTTTTCGTCTTCGACAAAATTAGGTCGACCACAACTCTGCTCAACCATTTTGTAAAAAAAAGACACCGTTTCACATTTTAGGTAGTACACAGAGGCAATATGGCCTAGGGGGGTCGCGCAATAAGTGTACATATAATCCTCCATAGTGACTTGTATGCACTTGTTGTTCTGCAAGAAGCTGATTGTGCTGTCGATCATTTTGTTCACATGCTCATATATAACCTTCTTAGCTTGATTAGACAGTATATTATTATCAAATAATTGAACATATTGCACATCTTTGATGTAGTACGAGGGGTTGGAAAAGAGTCTTTTAAAATAATACGACTTGGTAAGGTAGTTAAAAAGGTCTTCCTTGTTGCTTATAACTTTGGAACAAATTTCTGCATTGATATGTTCATTTAAATTTTCAGTAATATTGGATTCTATATTCATAGGATGATAGAGAAAATTTTTTATTGCGTTTTTTCTTTTTTCTTGTACTAGCAATATGGCTAAAGCTTTGTCGTCAAATTGTGGTCTGCCAGCTCTGCCAATCATTTGTAATAAATCTGTGTATGAAATATCTTTGTACTTTTTCGTTTTTGCATCGTAGAATTCATTTCCCTTTATGATTACCAGATAGGCAGGGAGGTTAATTCCCCATGCTAAGGTCGATGTGCATATAAGTATTTGAATAATTTTATTTAAAAAAAAATATTCTACAATATTTTTGTCATTTTCGTTTAACCCTGCATGATGGATTCCTATTCCGTATCTCAGCAAATCTTTCAAGTGTTCATTTTCGATTAAGTTCAAGTAGTTTTGGAAGAGCATGTTAGCTACTTGCGTTTTTTCTTCCCCAGATAAATTCTTACTCATTAAGTATGTATAATCGAGAAGATCATTTGATTCCTCCTCACCACTGTCGCTGTCTAAATGGTTATCATGTTCATAGCCTCGTGCTAAATGATTCGAGTTAAAGTTATGACGACGACCTTGGTTCTCATTTATTTCCTGTCCATCATTTGGTAATCCTTTTTTTTTTTTTTTTTTTTTCCTTTTCCCGTCTTTTTTTTTACTACTATTAAGTAAAAACTGGATGTGACTCTTATCATTCAGCAAATTTTCTGTATGCAAAAAGTTGAGGTTGTGGGAACTAAGGTTCAGTGAAATTATGTCATATGCCGTAACTCTCGTTTGTCTTCTGGACGAAACAAATATGAGTACATTTTTAGCTTGGGCATATTGGTTAATAGCATCAAACACATTTTTGTTCATTACTGACATTCGTGCGCAGTATGCCTTTTGGGTGAACCCTAGAATGTGCGTTTTACAAGGCACTATTCGGCATGAGGACGGAAAATTAAAAAGGTAGTTTTCCTTCACATCGAGCCATAAAATCAAATCGTCTACACTCGTTATGACGGTTGTTAAACCAACGAGTCTTATTTTTTTATTCAAGTACTGTTCCATATGTTTGAATCGATTAATTAAAATTTCAATGACACCTCCTCTGTTCTCCTGCCCGAGTAAATGTATCTCGTCAAAAATGATCAAATTGACATTTTGCATGAATTTTTTATTTTTCCAATTTCTGGATATAACGTCTAATTTTTCTGGCGTACATATGATTATGTCACTGTCCAGTATGTTTTCTTTATTTTCGTTTTTATCTCCTGTCAGTTCAATTATGTTTTTGTTTAGGAGGTTTTTAAATTTGCTCGCCCAGTTCTTGTATCGCTCGTTTACAATGGCTTTCATGGGGCATATGTACACGGACTTTTCCCGTTCGTGGTGCAGCAGGTTCCTCAGGATGCACAGCTCTCCGATGACGGTCTTGCCGCTTCCTGCACGGGGTTGACAGAGGTTATGTTATTAGGCGGTTATGTGGTTGTGCAGCGCGTGCTGCGCATGGAGATATGCCTACAGGGTGGTGATTCGTGCGCTGGCTGCTGCCCTCCGCAATGCGGAAGATTCACGGCTACACACAGCGCTAAATAATCCGATAAGAAAAACCTACCTGTAGGAGCCCCCAGGAGGATGTTCTCGTCCGTGTGGAACGTCGCGTGGAACATCTGCGTCTGAATAGGGTTGAAGTAGCGGAAGGAAAAGAACTTGATGTAGCTAGGGATGTTCAAAATTTGCGTCGATAGGGGAACGATAGGAAGGATTTCGGAAAATATATTAATCTTCTGATTAATGAACAAATTGTTTGTATTGAAAATATGGACGTAGGACAAATTGCACCAATTCATGGACACAAACTGGACAGTGATTTGTGGGGGCATTTGATTCGAGAGAGGAAATTCGAAAGAAATGTCATGAATTTTTTTCCTGTCTTTTTTATGAATAGAGAATTTTTGGAAATATAATATGTCATTATTAAGTGTGTTCAATAGAAACAGGTGGAAATTTTCCTGAATGTCGTTCCACTGATCTGACCAAATAGTATTTGTAAGTTGCACCTGGAGATTTATTTTCATGATGGTTTGTGTTATGGGCTGAATGTATCCATCGATGTGTAAGTTTGGAATTATATTCTTGTAGTATAAAATTTGGTTGGTGTAGACTTCATTTCTTAAAAAGAACAGAAGTTCGCTCTTGGTTAACGTGTCGAGAGATTCGTGTGTTAGTTTTTTTTTTTCTAGAATATTCACCACGGACTCTTTTAGGTAAATGGTATAGTTTTGATTTTTCCGATATCTCCCCTGTGACGTGTCATGGGAAGCATAATTATTAGGGTACTCCTGCTCCTCGAACATTTCGGACGGATTTATGTACTTTCCCCTGTAGGGTAGATGGTTCGGGTGAGAAGCTGCATTATCTTCTGTAGAAGCGTTTCCATACTTGCCCCCTTTGGTGGTTTGGCTAGAAAATGTCATGTTTTTCTTTTCTAGTAATTCATTTTTGTAGCAGAAATGTCTGAAGACGCAAGCGTTCATGGGCAGTCTCCTCAAAATGGATACAATAAGATTATGTGTATTCATAATTAAGTGGGAAATATTTTTCAGGACGTTAAGGCATATTTCGTAGTAGGCATATAAAATTCGGATGATGTTTTGTATGACATAGTTAATTTCGCAAATGAGGGAAAAGTTATTTATTTGTATCCTTCTCAAATAGGATTCGATTAATATGCGTAAAGTCATACATTTTGATTCGTCGTACTGCTCACTAATTTCACATCTACTTTTTAACCAGAGAAAATCTTTCATGTCTTCATTTCTGATTTGTATATTTTCGAATTCTTTTGATTTACTAATAACGTCAATAATTTCTACGTAATTGCTTTTGTCAATATTTTCAGCAAAAATTCCTATGGTTTGATAATCAACATAATACTTGGCTGCTATGTGTCCATAGAAGGTTCCAATAAAGTCGTTAGTGAGGAATACTCTCCTAACTAATTTATTTTCACTCAAATTTTGAATGGCCTTTAGGATAATTTCCTTTCTTTTGTTGTACAAATGCATATCTGTGGTGAGATCGGCATCGTACAGGTTTGGGTTTTTTTTCATTCTAACATAGAGGTAGGTATATTCTAGCCACTTAATACCATCTTCCACATTTTTCGTTGTCCCTATGCTTATTTCGGCATTTAAGTGATTTTCTATATTTTTTAAAAAGTTCGATTCAATGATGGTATTATTGGTTAACAGTTTTATATACTTGTACAGTTTTGTCCTTTCTGTTATGAGGATAGCATGTCCGTGATCTTCGTATTGCGGTCTGCCGCACCTTCCGAATATTTGGTTAATGTTGAGAATGTCCATATCTTCCATTTTTCCGCTTTCAGAGGAAAAAAAGTTAGTACCTTTGATGATGACGGTATGGACAGGTAAGTTAACTCCCCATGCTAGAGTAGATGTGCAGCATAATACGTTGAATGCCTTTTTTTTAAATAAATCTTCTACCAATATTTTGTCAGATCTCGACATGCCCGCGTGGTGTATGGAGCAGCCAAATTCATAAAACTGTTTCACATACATGTTATTCGATTTTTTAATTCTTTTATTTATTTCGCTATCTGTGTAGAGGTTGCTGACGAAATAATCGAGCTCACCATTTTTAACAGCATAGTCAATCAGGAATTGTATCGTTTTATTGGTGTCATTTCTGGAGCATACAAAAATGATGCACTGCTTATCTTTCCTCAACGCATTTATAATTTCTCCATAGGCATACATATTTTTGGCTATATTTAACTTGTTCATATTTTTTTCATGTATTCCGTAGAGGGTTTTATCGAGCTGAATGGATCGGTAGCTTTCATTGAAGTAGAAGCACATATCGTTTTCCACTTTTAGAAAATCCCTCACGTCGTTGTAATTTGGTAGTGTGGCTGACATGGACATTATTCTTCTCACCGACTGGGACGTTTCGGAGTATCTTAAAAATCTAGCAACAATTGTTTCTATTACGTCACCTCTATCTGTATTTAGCAAATGTACTTCATCAAGGATCAGACATTTGATGTGTTTAATTAATGACTCATCAGATACCGTGGTGGAGTAGCTGCTATTTCTTAGAAGTATGTCTAGCTTTTCGGGGACGGTTACTATTATGTGCACTGCTTCCAATTGTTTGGAGGTCAGGCTGTGCTCCTTTGTGTATTCGCATACCTTTAGGTTAAAAATTTTTAGCTTCCTTTGGAACAGGTTGGTTATTTCGAACACAAGAGACTTCATCGGTGCTATGTAAATGATTTTGAATTCTTTTGCGCTTATGGAGTTTCCGCCGCGGTACGGGGCGTAGTCGCTGGCGCCCTCGTCGCTTGGGGGGTCCTCATCCAACGGGTCCCCGGTTCGCAGGTCCCCAATTGGGAGATCCTCATTCGTGGGGTCTTCATTTGGAGGGTCTTCATCTGGAGTCTCCTCATTTGTGGGGCCTGCATTTGGAGTGTCCTCATTTGGCGGGTCCTCACTTGGGGATTCGTCCTTCAGGGGATCATTGACCACCTGTTCGCTTCGCTCCGTATGATGTACGTCTGCACGGCGAATCCCCTGGGCGTAGACCTCCTCACCGCTACGAACGAGGTTAGTCTGGGCGATCTTCTCGAGGCTGATTCCGTTCTGTTCGCAGAAGAGGCAAATCTGCTGCAGTATGACCAACAAAGCGATATTGGTTTTTCCACACCCAGTGGGCGCGGAGACGAGTAAATTTTTATTCGTCTGAAAGGCAGCCTTAAAAACTTTGGACTGCACATAATTAAAATGTTCGAACTCGAAAATGTATTTGTGCCAAAAGGGTAGCACCTTCACAGGAACTAACTCGTCTTTACTGAATTGAAAATTTTCCAATCTGTTAATCCTAACTTTGGTCACATTGTCTGTGTATGAGTAGGAGGTATTTCTGGGGACCTGTATTTCTTCCAACTTGTTTTCTTCATTAGGTATGTAAATTTTTTTAACATCTCCAAAATTATTTTCTTTTAATGTATATAGAAAGAAATCTACAATTTTTTCAATATTTTCCTTTTTTATAAAAATATTTTTTTTGCTGTTAATTCCGTCTGTGGTCTTATCAGTTATGAAGAAGTTTGATGCGAGAGTTTTTTCCTTTACATCTACATATTTGCTTAACAGTTTAATATCTCTTTTTATATTTTCCTTGTTCTTAATAATGTTGAATATAAAATCGATGTGTTCTTCTCCTAGGAGATCCAGCAGGCTATTTTCTAAATTGTCTCTTGTCATTGTTGTGTAGATAATTTCTGTAATAAGTTCGTTCATTTCGTTTAGGCTTATCTTTTTGATTTGGTTTCTTCTGTTCATAATGATATACCTGTCTGTGTTTTGGCTGAATGCGTTTCCGCTATTTAAAATTTGTTCGCATGTATCATGCACATACATCAGCCCCGATTCGCCTCCTTCGGAGTTGTCCTGTTCATGTTCCTTGGACCGCCTCTTCGCTTTCGTTGGCTCTCTCTGCTTGTGGGTGCCATTCTGCATGTACTTTTTCTCCTCGCGCATCAGGCGTAGGAGTTTCCGTTGCAGGGTGGGCTCCCGTCTGCCCCTGCAAGGGGCGATTCGACTGCGCCTGTTGTTGGGGCTGCCATCGAGACTGCTATTTGAACTTCTATTTGAACTGCCATTTGAAAGGCTACTTGCACTGCTATTTGAACTATCATTTGAACTACTATCTAAATTGCAATCTAAGCTGCTATCTGAGTTACTATCCAAACTGCTATCCCTGCCGCTGCGACTGCCCGCACGCCCTGCCCCGTCGCAACTTCTGAAGAAGGAACTCCTTTCTATGTACGCTACCGCCTCGTCGATATCGTACGTGCTATGCTTGATGGAGTACTCATAGTACGAATTTCCCTTCAGTCGGTTGTTTAATCGCGTCTTCATGTGCCCGGTTTTTCTTCTATCCCTCCTGCACACACAAGCGTTAATATATGTGTTTGTGCACTTACCCCTGTGTGCGAAGTCACCCACGGCGCTAGCGCTTTATCGCGTTGTGAGGTTCTGCCGAGGAGGACGCAAAAATCTTGAGAGACACTATGTCGTTGAAGGCGTTTCTATCATTATTTGTTGGCAACAAAAATGGTGGTCTCTTTTTGTCCTGTAATGATGGCATGAGATGACTTCACATGGCACTGTCACATTCGTAATGGACCTTGCAGGTAAATAATCCTTGCATGTATACACATATAGTTGGCACTTTTTTATGGCACTATATTTTTATCATGATGAGTTTACTGCATTATATATGATTTACAAGTTGTGTATTTCTTCTACGTAGTTTTCCTTATTCTTTTCTTTGTACTATTCTTTCAACTTTGGTATTGCATAAATTAACTGATCAGGGTGAGGAATATGTTTTTATATTACATGTATTCATATTTGCGTTCACAACTTTAGGGCTCTTTATGAAATGGATTCGCTGACCAACCTGTTAAAAGGTGTCTCCTCTTGTATAGCATTATGTGCACATGCTCTTTTCGGGCACGCTGAATGTGTGTATACGTGGCTACTCATACCGTAAGGGTGTATATTTTCGACTAAAAAATAAAAACATAAATGAGCGCTTTTATCCCCTGCATTGTAAATGGAGATCATCTAGTTAAGTAGGTTAACGCGGGTGGCAGACTGAATGGACCCGAGGTTGCCCATATAACCTTGTGATGCACAAAAAAAAAAAAAAAAAGGCGTTACCTTTCTACATGACAAAAAAAAAAGGAAATCCCTTTTTTCCCCTGAGCCAATTCTGGGAACAACTGGCTAGAATGTTTTGATACAACTTAACAGTAGGCTTAAAGCGGGGGGAAAAAAATAATTAAGCAGATTGGGAAATAAAAAAAAAAATTGTTAACAATATGCGGGAAAGATTAATATTTATTTTTTAAGAAGATTAGTTATTAGCGTATGTCCTTGCCTCTGCTGGGGACGGGGGGGGACACTTTCCCTACACAAGTAGAGCATGAAGAACATACAATAACAGGTAATACAACATGACAGTGATCCATTTGTTCAAAAAAAAAAAAAAAAAAAAAAAAAAAAAAAA